TACTGGATGGCTGCTATGAGGTCTCCACGCAGCCTTCTCCAGGCTGAACAGCCCCAACTTTCTCAGCCTATCTTCATATGGGAGGCGCTCCGGTCCCCTGATCATCCTTGTGGCCCTCCTCTGGACTTGTTCATATATAAATCCAAGGATTTCCCCTTAGTGAAGCCATGCTGGCTGTCACCAAGCACCTTGCTGTTTTTCATATGCCTTAGTATGCCTTCCAGGAGAATCTGCTCCAAGATTTTGCCAGGCACAGAGGTGAGACTGACTGGTCTGTAATTCCTTGGGTCATCCATTTTCCCCTTCTTGAAAATGGGGGTTATATTTCCCTTTTTCCAGTCACCAGGAACTTCACCTGACTGCCATGATCTTTTAAATATGGTGGCCAGTGGCTTAGCAACTTCACTCGCCAGCTCCTTCAGGACCTGCAGATGGATTTCATCAGGTCCCATGGACTTGTGTATGTTCAGGTTTTTAAGATGGTCTCGAACCAGATCCTCTCCTACAGTGGGCCCAAGGTCTTCATTCTCACAGTCCCTGCGTCTACCTTCCAAGACTTGTGTCTACCTTCCGAGACTAAAGTTCTTAACCTTTAATCTCAACCCTTTGGGCCCCACGTTGGGCACCAAAAAGAACTGTCATGGTATAAGCCCAGCTGTGCATCAGAACCACACAGTCTCTGTCTCACTCCTTCCCTGCCTTCCCCTGCTCCCTGATGGGGAGGAGAATCGAAAGAATGTAACTCCCACGGGTTGAGATAAGAACAGTCCAGTAACTAAGGTATAACACAAACCACTGCTGCTACCACCAATAAGGGAAATAACAAGGGAAGAGAATACAACTGCTCACCAGTCACCGACCGACACCCAGCCCGACCCAAGCAGTGATCTAACTCTTCCAGGTAACTGCCCCGAGTTTATATACTGGGCATGACGTGCTGTGTTATGGAATACCTCTTTGGTTAGTTTGGGTCAGGTGTCCTGTCTTTGCTTCCTCCCAGCTTCCCCTCCTCCCTGGCAGAGCATGAGACTTAGATAGTCCTTGGTCAGACAAAACATTACTGAGCAGCTACTAAAACCACTGGTGCTATCAGCGCTGTTCCCAGGCGGGAAGTCAAAAACACAGCACTGCACCAGCTACTGCGAAGGAGAAAAATGACTGCTACTGCCGAACCCAGGACACTGCTCAATGCCCAGGTCCTGCTCCTCAACTGCAGTACAACAGGAATAGTGTAACAAAACTACTTACTTCTCATACCACACTCCTAACAGTGATCCTCAAAGCTCTTCACAAAGCAAGTCCTGCTACCTTCCTTGGCTTCTTTATCTCTGTGATGGTAAGAAAGGGGGGTTGCCCACTGCCACACAGCAGGCAAAAACCAAATTCAGGGCACCTTGTAGTCCCAGCCTAACCATCTTTCCATCATCCTGTGTGGAAGCACTGCTGTGGAACATACCACAGCCCATCAAAACACTGGCCTTAAGCTCAGGAGCAGGGACCGAATTCTGGGACCAGACTTTTTATTAAGCTTCTCTGTGAACACATGCTCTACCTAGTCTATGCCCATTTCTGCTCTCATTGTGCAACTCGGAGCTAAAGCTGAAGGCTCTTGGGCAAAGAGAAACAACTTCCTACACTGCATTTATGCACAAGAGTATATAGATTAGAAACCCTATATGAATTTGAGCTCATGAGCATTCCTATAAAGTGATGTGAAGTCCCAGTCAGGATTCCATCACAGTTCTAAAAATAGCTTTTCACATATCCTCAAAGCATCGCTAGTGTATGTAGCTTCAATACGTTCCCACATGCATTCTTGTACCTAATTGCTAACAGCATGATTCAATAAACTATCAGAATCATGGAAGGAACTTGCTTCAGACAGGAAAGAAATCGCTATTCCATTATTCAGTTATAAAAATAACAAGACTTGACCAAATCAGTTGTCACAAACAGCATAATATTGGAATCTAATTCCAGGTAACTTCAGCATGCACACACTGCTGTTGAGTCAGGAGTGCCTTGTTTCATCTTCGTTTCATCCACCTGAAACCTGATTTTACTTCAAGAACAGGATGTCCTGCAAAGGAACTATCCAGAACAGACACTGTAATTTAAAGCCACTGTCTCAATCTGAATACTTTTCAAGAGTACATGGGATTTCATGGTAAACACAGCTGCTTTTTCTGACAGTTCTAGCTAGAAATGCTTCCTATACCAAGGATTACTACTTCACTAGACCAGCCTGTTTTCCTTTTATTCTGCACAGCATGGAGAGAATGTGCTACACTACTAGGGCTGGACCAGAACTACCTGCTAGTCTCAGGTACAAAAGATAATGCTCAGCAGAAGCATAAAAGTCTCAACAAAGAGCAGGTCAGTGTGAAGCTGAGAAATAAATTTCTCTCCCTAGCAGCTTAGGAATGGACTATCCAGAGAGGTTGTGTAGTGTCCACCCCAGAGACACTGAGAACCTAACTGGACAGAGTAGTGAGCAGCCTGTTTTGAGCAGGTCTCTAGAGGTCTGTTCCAACCTCAACCGCTGGTGTGGTTCTGTGATACACCTGCAGACCCCTCTGCCCAGGCAGAGGTCCCTGACTACATCAGAAACATTTGCCCTGAAACACTCACTACAGAAACACTTGCCCTGACTGCAAGCAGACTCTTCTGCTAATAATATTGATGAAAGCTTGTGTCTTCCCTGACCTTGAAGCTGTGTTATCTGCTTTGGCTGCGAGAAGGCGATAATAGCTCCTGACAATGGCAAAAGTCAGCTCTGAGCCAGTGGAACAGGAAATCCCATTTCTCAAGCCCTTCAAAGCCTGCCAGCCTGCCTGGCAGAGTTTCTCACAGCAGCACTCAGTGAGATTAACAGCACTAAAAATAACCCCACAATAAATTGTGAATTTAGAAGAAGAAAGGACTTGCCCTCAATGTGGGCTTCCCTTCCACTTGTGGCCTCAAGTATCCCCAGACAGTTGAACTGCTAGGGTTTTGTTCTCCAAATTAAACAGCAGCTGCAGCTGTTGAAGTGGTTTTAAATAAAATAAGAAGATTAAAGGGTACAACAAAGAGCTAAGATACTTTCCAGTCTTTAAACAAGTGCCTCACTCCCTTCCCTGTTGCCTTCTATAATAAGAAACTCAGAGCTGAATCTGCTCCTTACCGAATCATTCTGTCCTTGTATCACCAGCTCACATACAATCGTGAACTGAAGCAAAAATAGGAGGACCAGTCCTGAAGACTTCCAGTATTTAAGTATTTAAGAAAATGCCCAAGCCTGTTTGGTCTGCACTGTCAAATCAGCAGAAAAAAAAAAAAAAAAAAAACAACAACAAACTTGTAGAAGTAGGCACCAGAATTAGCACTACCTTGAGGCTTTCCACAAGTTTTGCTGTCTTTGCCTGTGCCTAGAGTGAGCCATTATAGCTCAGCCATTTGTGTCAGCCCACTTTCATTAAAGACAACCTGACTACTGAGGAAATTTTCATGTGCTGCTTGCAAGGCTTAGACAATATGCATTAGTGCTTTCTAAAACAACTGACTTCTTTCTCAGCCCCCTAAAACACTGCACACTGACATCTGGCAATGAGAATTACCTTCATTACTATGGGCTCAGCTGCTTGTTTGATGCATATACACAATTTATTGCTTATATAGCACATGTCAGGTACTGGCTCAATTAATAACAGTTCACCTTGAGCACAAATACATTTTTCATGTATGCATGCATCTAAACAAAGCTAATATCCACATGTGCACAAACAGAAAATGCCAAGTAAAATCTTCAATTTACACTCAGAAGGTCACATACTGTGCTGTTTTAACCAGAATCAATGAACCTTAGATTCATTGTAGTGTTTCATTGTTTTAAGTATTGAGTCCAAGGGGCTTGGCTCTCCAAGAGAACCACAGCAAATGGAGGACAGATGTGATAGCATCTGAGCAGCCATCACCTGGTAGGGGGTGTAGATGAGGATAACAGCCACCACCTGACAGCAGAGATAATCCAGCTACCTCAACCACAGAGGCATACCAAAATCCTCTGTTGCAGACACTACCTACCTTTGGATTTAAGGTATGAAACACAGTGTTTTGCAGAGAACAGTTCAAACATAAACTCAATTCACTCAGAAGTCTCTCCTATGCACTACAGATGATATAGTATCATCATATAGCTAGAGACTGTGTTGTAACATGGCCAAAAGGCAGAATAAGTGTGGTAGGTGCTAAGCATGGGGTCCTTCACTTTGCAAACTCATTGTTTTCTTCTCATAGCTTTTAGAGACCATAATTAGGAAATACAGAGGATCCCAATTGGGAATGTAAAAAGATATTGGGATATAAAAAGATATACTGGGATATAAAAAGATCATACAAGGTTATAAACGTTTCTGAAAACATAGGGAGAAACAGCTATAGAAGCAGCATACACCTACTGCCACACTGCTGTTACATCTCACTCCCCTGTATTACACTCCAGAGCATATTTTGTGTTAATAAAATGCATGACACAGAAGCGATTGCACTCCTGTCCCTCTTTGCCCCTCCAGCATGCACAGGGGATACCATCTGCATGCAAACCTTCACACCCCACCACTGCAGCAGGTCCTAACATGAACAACCCCGGAGACACAGCCCACCGGAACCACAACCTCTGCCATAGCTGCAAGTCTGGCAACCTGCTGAGACCTTACTGCAGCAGGGATGTCTTCGTGAGGCACCTCCTCCGTCACCTCTGCCTGGAAAGCTTCAGGGATCCGTCAACATCTGCATGACTCCAGCAGAGAGCTCCAGAGACTGAAGCAGTCATCTGTGGAAGTGTCACTGAGGAGGCGGTAGGGTGGCAACTATCTCTCTTGCCTGCGGGAGACTTCACAGGCCGCCCTCGCCTCCTGGTAGCTCCCCCGGGGCCGGGGCAGCACCATGGAATCTTTCAGACGGCGCCCCATTGAGACGCCCGCACGCTTGCCCGGGGACAGCCGTAGCACGGGCCCTACCTACTCCGATGTGCCGCGCTCTCTCCAGCGGGCCGCGCTGGGCCGGGCCAGTGCCTAGGAGCTGCTGGCTGCCTTCGCCACCAGCCAGCCACTAACGGCACCAGCATGCGGCGGGGCGGCCTCCTTCCCTTCACGGGTCCCGCCTCTCGCTGCCCCCGCGGGTCGGGGCTGAGGGGGCGCTGTGGTGAAGTGGGGGGTGTGTGTGGCACCGAGCTGCCGCAGGGAGGGCGCTGCGTGCTTGGGTCGGAAAAGACCTTTACGATCATCAAGTCCAGCTGTTCCCCAGCACTGCCAAGGCCACCACTAACTCATGTCACTGAGGGCCTCATTACACGGTTTTTGAGCACTTCCAGGGACGGTGATTCCACCACTGCCCTGGGCAGCCTGTGCCAATGCCTGAGCACCCTCTCAGGGAAGAAATTTTTCCTAATATCCAATCTAAACCTCCCCTGGCACAACTTGAGGATGTTACTTCTTATCCTAGGGCTTGTAACTTGGGAGAAGAGACTGACCCCCACCTCAGTGCAACCTCCTTTCAGGTAGTTAGAGAGAGCAGTAAGGTCCTCCCTGAGCCTTCTCTTCTCCAGACTAAACACCCCCAGTTCCCTCAGCTGCCCCTCATAAGATTTATTCTCCAGACCCTTCACCAGCTTTGTTGCCCTTTTCTGGACCCGCTCCAGCACCTCAATGTCTCCCTTGCAGTGAAGGGCCCAGAACTGAACACAGGATTTGAGGTGTGGCCTCACCAGTGCTGAGTACAGGGGGATGATCGCTGTCCTGGCCCTGCTGGCTATGCCATTTCTGATACAGGCCAGGATGCTGTTGTCCTTCTCGGCTGCCTGGGCACAACCTGGCTCATGTTCAGCGGCCGTCAGTCAGCACCCCCAGGTCCTTTTCCGCCAAGCAGCTTTCCAGACACTCTTCCCCAAGCCTGTAGCATTGCATGGGGTTGTTGTGGCCCAAATGCAGGACCTGGCACTTTGCCTCGTTGAACCTCATATCATTGGCAAAGGCCCATTGATTCAGCCTGTCCAGATCCATCTGCAGAGCCTTTCTATCCTTGCTATGGGCTTGGGCCTGCCATATTCACCCCAGCTGAGCAGGGAAGCACCCCACAGGTCTGTGTTACTTTTCGGCATGCACCTCTGAGTCCAAGAGGTGAACCACCAGGTTGCTGTGGTAGAAGGAGTTACGAAACCAGCATAAAGGTAAAGACCAAAAAGCTGAGAGGTGTGTGACAAGACAGCAGCCACACGCATCAACAGCAAGAAAACCCCAAACACAATACAAGCCAGCAACATACCTGATAAGCTTTTTCAAATGCATGTGACTGACAGCGTTGCAGGCAGGGAGGGTGGAAAAATCCTTCCTATGCTAAATCTGGAAGCAACGTGAGAGGCTCAGGTTAAGAGACAAGAATGATCACAAGCAGCAAGTTTTCAGTACAGATCAGATCTAGGGGGTGTGTGTTTGCTCTGTAACTTGGATTAATCTTTTTCAACACATCATTGCTGTAAAAGCCCAGGCCTAGACGGTTGAGCTGTCACGCTTTTTTGCCCACACGTGGCGCTTCTGTGTTGTGAAGGTGGAGCGCGTGCTGCGGGATGATGTTAATGCCACCGCTGGGAGGATGTTGGCTTACATGCTGGCCGTCTTCAGCTCTTCTGATATAGAAAGCTGTGATACAGTACTTACTGGATCTGGCACTGGTGAGAAGTTTGTTTTCATGGACATAAACAGGACACTCAACAGCTAATATCTTTACTGAATGAATTTATTGGTTTTTGAACTAAAGTTGCTCACAGTTATTTAACAAGGGATACATCAGATTTTTCTGTCCATTTTAAACCATTAAATAATGTCAGTTTGTGTCTGTATATGTGTGTGTGCGCGCGTGTGTCTTTAAAGTACAAAATAGGAAGGATAACAAGAGGTATTGCTTTCATTTATTCTTATATCTTGTGTAAGTAATCCCCTTCCTGCTTGTACCACATGGGTTTTGCTGATATAGGTATTTTTAAATTATTATTTTGTATTGAAATCCCAGCCTTTTGTAGAGGTACAATGTAACAGAAGCATCAAAATCTATACACAAGGGAAGAGAAAAGAGGGAAAAGAAGGATGGGGGTGATGGGAGGGGAGCTCGGAGGAGAAGTAGAGAGAGGGCGGAGGCAGGAAAGACAACAAAAGCAAAAGAGACTAATTTACAGCAATGTCATGCAATTAAAACTGCCCCCCTCTCCTGCACCCTTGCCTCCCCCCCTCCCCAGCCATCACCCCCAGGTGTCTGACATGCACACAGCAATACGAGAGAGAAAAGTTTTAAGAATAGGGAAAATAAATAAATAAATAAACCAATAAAATAAAATAAATCCCTCCCATTTGGGGGAATGGGGAAACGGGGCAGAAGTCAAAGGTCTTTGCCCCAGTTGTGTCTTTAAAAATTCTTTTTAATCTTCAAACCTATGTACAAGTAAAACTGGTCCAAGAAGGGGAAAAATGATTAAAAAAAAACAACGACAACAACAACAAAAAAAGAACTCATCCAACAGTATCAGTAAAAAAAAAAAAAAAATAACCTTGCGATACAACATACACCCATAGGAACCCAACGAGCAGCAATCGAAGGTCATAAAAGAGCTGAACACTAATGCTAAGCCTACATTCTTAAAATCTCAGTCAAGAAGTACTTTTCATTGTGTTTTGTCTTCCACGCGTAAAACCACGTTGGTTTTGTTTGTTTAACCTTTGAACTTGGGCCAGAATAAGTTACACTTGGTCACATCATAACTCTTGAGGAGGAGGAAAAAAGGCAACAATTCTTCTTTCTCAAAGTCACAAGATAACACTTACGGGGTTTCTGTGTCTTTTTTCTACCTCCTCCCCAAAATAAATAAGAATCAGTGTTTCACTTACACGGTTATTAAACAGAAGATATATCTCACAGCTTATTTTTTAAATATATATATGTATATATAAATAACCAAAACCTAAGAACTGAAACACACACACAAAAAAAAAGTCCCCATCCACCCAACCCCACCCTCCTCCCCTTCAAAAAGAAAAAAAACAAAAATACCAACAAACCAAACCAAAAGTAAAACCAAACCCAAACAAAACTTTATAAAAATATCTTGCAGTAATTTTTAAAGTTTACAGTAGCTTTGTGATTAAGTCTCCCATTGCCCTGACTCCACCTTGTCTTGCTCTGATGAACTAAGTGCCAGTGATGTGCACACACACACACACAGAGGAAATAAAACCCAAGAGAAGTCTCTTTTCTTCTTCCTCTTCATCTTCTTTTTTCTTTTTCCTTTTTTTCTTATTTTTTTTTAAGAAAAAATCACCCAAGCCAACAAATGAAACTGGTAACTTAAAGAAATAATAATACTGATATCAATGCAGCACTAGCAACACAACAATTGCCTCTAAATGCAGGGTGTGGTGGAGGATCCAGCTGGTTGAAGAAGGTCCCAGCGCGGTGGCACAGTGGCAGGGAGTTGACAGTGGGGAGGAAGGTGTTGAAGGAGGAGCAGCAGTAGCAGCAGTGGCAACTGTGCCTGGTGGCAGGAGAGACAGTCCTTGGCAGAGTCTTGTCCCTCTTCTTTGCTACCAGAAGTTGCCTTTTCCCTAAGTTTTAATGTTTTGTTTGTATGTGTTTATTCATCAAACCCCTCTCCCTCCTAAGTTTACTCCTTTCCCCTTCCAGCAGGTCAAAAAGCAAAACAATATAGTATAAAAAAAACAATCATTTTGTACATATATATATATGTATGTATATTTATGTATAAATATACACACATATATACATGTATATATAAAAAAAAGGGGCAAAAGAAAAGGAAAAGGTGGCAGGGAGAAAAAGAAGGTTAAGAAAATCCTGTGATGAAGCTCCCCAATACTGTCTTGGTTCAACGCTTATTTCTGAGTTGCTCCTGGCTGGTTTCTGATGAGAACGCGCTCTGGATTCATGAAACGTGCTCCCACTACAACCATCTCCTTCCTCACACCCTCTCTCTGGGCTGTGTTCAGCTGCACAGACAGAAGTTGCCAAGGGAAAAGGTTTCACTCCCAACAATTTGCAACCCCTTTTCAGCCCAGACTCTGCAATCCCATAACTGAGCGGATCTCTCTTGTGGAGCACCAAAAAAGAAAAAAGGGGGGGGGGGGGAACAGGCGTGCACTGGGGAGGTGTTTGGGGAGAAGTGGGGGAGAAACCCACTTCCTGAAGGGAGAGGGGAGGCTGGGAACCTCAAACAGGACTGGTCCTTGGACAGTCTACATCGGTTGCCTTCCGTCAACAAGTGTCCGCAGAGCACAGAAGGTGAAGCCGTGGCTGACATGTTAACTTTTCGGGATAATTCCTGGTAGCAGAGCGGAAACAAGTGGTGTCGTCAGAAACACAGAGAGAGCATGAACAGAACAAGAAACAAAACAAAAGAAAACAAAAGAAAAAAAAAATAATAAAAAACCCAAAAAATCAGGAAGGAGAAAAAAAGCAAAACATTCAAAAAAAGGGAGGAAAAAAACCCAATTGAAAAACCACAACCCAAGATCTGGTGAACTGGGTTTGTCAACTGTGCTACCTTTTCTTTTCTTTTCTTTCTTTTCATTCTTTCATTCGTTTGTTTTTGTGTTTGTTTCTGAGATATATATTATATATCATATATAAATATATATGTATATATATACAGTCATTCCTTCATACAAAATTTGTCTATAGACAGTTTTGTACTGTTGTGGCAAGGTATATACATCCTTCTAGTTTAGAGGCTAGCTTGCTAAGGAATATTCTTTCATTCTTTCTTGCTTTTTGTTTTTTTTCTAAGTTATTTAATTTTTTATGTGTTTATTTAAGGTTGGTCTTGTAGGCCGACTGATGAGACCATCTTTGCCTTGTCTTTGCCAGCAGGGTACTTATTGTCTCCTCTAGACCCATAGTCATTAGAACCGGAATCGCTCCGCTTGCTGTTTGCGCTATGCTTGGTTGGCGTGCCGGGGGGATGGCTCACCTGCCCGTTCTTCTCGTCTGAAAAAAGTTGTTTAATTACGTCAAAGAAGTTACTCAATGGGCTGCCTGGGTACACAAAACAGAGGAGACAAAAAAAGAAAGAAAGGAAGGAAGAAAGAAAGGAAAAAAAAAAAACAAACAAGAGGGAAAGAGAGAAAAAGAGGAGAGAAAGAGAGAGAACAAACAAACAAATGAACAATGGGGTTTTTAACGAGAAGAACATGATGAGGAGATCCAGAGCCACGTGCGTGGGGGTGTGTGGGGTATGAAGACAATGAGCAGGAAGAGGAAGAGTGTTTAGGATGGGACACCTACAGAAATAAAGAGGCTGGGAGCATAAAGCACCTAGGGGGAAGGTCCTGGTTTTCTCCTGAGTGGGGGAGCACTGCTGTCTCACCTAGCAGAAGGACACAGCACCATGTGGCTGAAATAGTTCAATCTATTACTTTGAGTCACTTGGCCACTCCACACTGAAATGTCAATGAATGTAATGCTGGATATAGGCAAATCCCATCTTAACTGCTGCTGTTACAAACACGGGGCATTTGATGTGGTCACCAACCGATGCTTTGCTCTGCAGACTTGCTAAGTTCTCTGGATACACCAGATACTAGGCTTTCTTTGCTTACACATCATTTCTTTCTGAGCATCTCCTTGCTCACCTTTCATCACTGAAGCTTAAAGCACCTGGGTGTTCCAAGCATTTGAAAAATGAGGTAGAGCTTACATGAGTATTGCCATCTGCCTGCGTGGTTTGTGGCTCATGCTTACAAGCTTCTAAGTACTTTCAAGATCCTTCTTACAACTGGTACCTGGAAATGAAGATGCTGAATGCGCTGTGGAAACAGGCTGTTACACATCTATTTCTGGGACCTACCATGGTCAAGAACTACTTCTTCATTGTCCTGAATTCATGTTCTCTCTACAATACAGTCTCCATACTAGTAAAGTCAGGAGCCAGAGAGGAGTGTAGGGTTGCATGCAAGTAGAACAGGTATCTCATATGGCCAGCCACTGGAGTAGGATACAGGTTATGAACATGGGCTGAGCACCGTCCACATGAATACAATCTTTTATGCCATTTGGGCCTCCAGGCAGCAGGGTTGTATCCTGTTAGTGCAGTTCTGTGTCAGAGAATATGTGGAGGGTCATACCTGAGGAAATGCTCTGGGGTGATACAGAGGGAAAGGGAGCAGCTGCTACCAGAGAGGTAGTATTTTGCATGCATTTCTTTTTATTTTCTTGGATTGGAGAATTAATCCTGATCAGCCATAAGAGGAGTCACACTAAATTCTCTGAGCATGGATATTGAAGGTGTTTTTTATCTAACATACACCGTGGGGGTTATACATGCTCATGACCATTAAAACCCCATGATGCTTTTCTCATTATTGGGACTGTTGGCTCCATTGTTCTAACAAATGTAAATCATCTAAGTCCCACCTAAGCAGTTTCATTCTCAAGTTCCCAGAAGTAACTGCCTTCCAATGTGGCGGTATGCTGTGAAGAGTGGAGCCTTTCATCCCTGAGAACATTCAGTTGGGAGCAAAGGGGTTTCTTCATAGCAGATACTCTATTTATCCACAGTTGGTGAACACTGGTGGCTTGGTAATATATTTCCCTTCACTTTCATTACAAACATAACTGGTTACTACATCAGGCAAGTTGCAACTTGTTTTGTTACTTGGCACAGTAACTTGTCTGAAGAGTTTATTGAGTGCTTTCTTACTCTGTAATGGAAAATGCTATGGACATCAACTGCTCTTATACAAAGAAAGAGGAAATACATAGTATTTGTGCCCTGCAAAATTGAATTTTTTACTCTTTTATGCCTGCCCTGTACTAGCCAGGTAGTTGCCACTTTCTTCTGAATGTTAATGGGCAGTGAGAAAAATCAAATGGCTGGCACATACAGTGATGGATCTCAATCTTATTAATTGAATTATTTCCTTGTCTTTCTCTACTTGCCACTTTCTGGTTAACTTACTGCTGGTCCTGGTTTGGTCCTTGCATTCAGTTATACCAATGCCACAAGCAAATAGTTGTTACTTTCTGGAAGGGCATCATTCACCTAAATATCTGAAGCCTTAGAGATGGGCCCAAACAATCAACCAGGCAAAGCACATATCTCAATCTCTGGCTAAGAAGGGGAGGGCTATCAAACTCTCAGTTGTTTTCAGGGTCAGATCTTCATAAGCTCTACCTGCTTCCTTCCACATGTGTGCAAATGCTTTGAACGGGGGATATCTGTTCCATATCTATGACTTCTATTTCAGAGATTTCCCTAAGTCTCCCTAAAACTGTTCTAGGTTTGTGGGTACATGTTCTGCTCAGACTCATTTCTATCTGCTCTAATTCTCTTAGGTGGATATTCTTTTTCAATGAAAAGGAAGAAAAAAAAGAAAGCAAACACTCACTCTTGAATGCAGGAATGTGGGCAGATCAGGTTCTTAAGTGGCTTTGGACCCCTCATCTTCATAAGCAAATGGAGTCAGCAGACAGAATGAAAAAGAGCACTAAAAAAAATGCTGGAGAGGGAAAGACTGCTAGATTGGGAGAAAAGGGAAGGGGAGTATCGCTAGTTATTCAGCTGAGCAGTTTATTCAACAAGCTTAGAGGGAAAGAAGAGGGGAGACTAAGCAGGGCTCTGCAAGAATTGGGGAACTTTTTGTTTTCATGTAGACAGGAACAGTAAACAAAAGTACAACTTGCAAGAACTAAGCAATAAAATATTTAAAAAATATATATCTTGTATTTGCTGAGTCTTGGTACAGGATTTTTAATCATCCTATTAAAATATGCAGCCCCTGTTTCATCCACCCTTTCTCCTCCCCATGCTCTACCAGCTTTCAAGTGCCTGGAGATTTACTGCAGCAAAAGTATTTAACAGTCTACTTTTCTTTGCCCGTACCACTACTGGATTCCTTACAATCAGCATTTTCAGTTAAAATTTTAATATGAGGTAAAAAATCCTTAGGGATGTTTAAAGAGAGCTCCTGAAAAATAAAATAGGCCATTTCACTAACCCTTTCCTTCCTTTGCGTTTTTTAGTATCTGGACTTCTAATTAAATACTAGCTAATCTCTCCTATCCTGCAGTCAAGAAAGAACTGATCATACACCAAGCAATATAGACAGTCATTGCATTGATGTTGTGTACATGATGGCTTCTTAGTCCATTCTTGGGCTGGTCTAGATACTAGTCTTTGGATGGACAAGAGTTCTTACGTTTTTGTCTGGAGATATGTAAACATGGGTCAGCTATGCTGGAAGCATGAAAATGGTGTGTGGTGTTGCTCTTCTTGCTTCTTATTTTCTTCTGGACTTACACATCCAGTAAAACAAGACTTGAAAATGCAGGGATGATAGATTAGAATAGCTTTTTCATCAATCTTGCACTCCTAGCATTCAGTGTGTCATAAGCTCTTACACCTCTAAGTCCATCTGGGCCCTCAAAAAGGCTGCCTCTCTTATTTCAAAAAGTGAGAAGACGTCACATTCCCTCTGGACAAGGATGAAGGCTTGGTTCACTGATTCTTCAAAACTTCCCTGGTGTTTCATGCATCTGTAACTAAGATTTTCTTTCCCATTGAGAGTAGATATTCATCAACACAGAGCAAAGAAGGCATGAAGGGTAACAAGGGTGAGAAACCATGGGAAGGATCAGAGGCAGGAGAGAAGGTTCAAAGCATAAGGTTTACATCTATTAGGAGGAGATGGGTATGTGCATTTTGGAGTTAGACCAAGGAGCTGTATGCTGCAAAATGGGGAACAGGAATGGGTTTGAAAGCAAGCGCTGAAGCCTATGAAAGGGTCATGGCTTAAAAGGGGTGCTAGAGCACTATCATGGCCAAATATCATGAAAGAAGTAAAAACTGTGAATGCATTTGAACAGAATGAAGAAACAGGGCTGGAGACAAGATACAAAAAATGTGAAAGGAAGCTGGGCATGTGGCCTGTACCAAACTTCACAGTCCTCATTATTTTATCACCTATTCTTTGGAAGTCTGTCTGACATTGACTAGCCCCAGTGGTGTCACAGGTTTGAGAACAAAGTACAAGTGGAGAACCCAGGTAGGAGAGGAAAGAGAAAATCAGGTGATTCATTCACTCCAGGCACCAGAATTAACACCAGGAAAGGATGCACCTTGCAAAGCCCCTGACCTGACCTTGCAAAGACCCTCAGAGTCCTCCATGGAAAACAACAGGAGGTGGTGAACAAGCAGCTTCAGGACAGGCCTGAAGGTTTCAGTCCCTGATTAGAGCCTGCTGTTTTGTAACATTTTAAGACAGTCAGGTAAGGACTTGGTCCTCTTTTCATTGCAGCAAATGGCAACGTTCCCATGGACTTAAGGGAAACCCTGAAGCACTTCTCCTGTGAAACCATCTCTTTCAAGTCTATGTATTTTTAATGCACTAATCCTTGTGGTGCTAAACACAAAGTTGCACAAAACTAATACAGCACCTGTGGATCCCAATCTATGGGATTATTCTCTGCCTTTCCTTTCTATATAGCCTGAGAAATTTTGGGTTTCTGCATGTTTAGCTTAGGCTTTGGGAGAAAGTGAATGGGAAAAAATGGTGTCACTGGAAACCAAGACACCCTTTATCAACCTGACTTCTCATATTCCCTTCCTTGTTGCTTCCACATCCTTTCTGTCTGTTTTCTGCCTGCTTCTACTACTGAGGTTTTCTTCCTATATTCATTCCTTTCTCTTTAACCCTTGTCTTTTTCATCCCTAGCCTGCTATGTATTTTGATAGTCATGTAACAAAAATCCAACTCCTTTCACATAAAGCATTGAAGCATTCTCTTGATGGGTGATAATCCATTCCCTTTCAAATCCATTTTGCTACTCCGTCAGAGTTCTAGCCCTCTTTGTTAAGTCTAGTCATTTTTTGCCCATTTGCTTGGTTTCTATTGGCAGAATCCCTTCTGTCTTCAAAGTCGGAAGACTTAAAATACAGAACCCATTTGAAGAGTATATGCAGTGAAAGGGATGACAGAAAGATAGAAGTGTCCTATCCTCTTTGTTTAGTCGTAATACTACATAGGGGTCTTCTCCAG